ATTATAAAGCCTTCGATCAAGCCATTACGTCTGGCGGTTAACTCAAGATGTGACTGTGTGCATGGGATGTGTCAGCGCAAAGCTGCTGCATTGCCACTCAAGGATAAATACTATCTCTTTTGTCTGCTTTATCATAGGTGCTGTCCTTAAAGAATCGCCTCCGCACAAAGACCTCCTCCTTATATGCTGCAATCTTATTCAGAGAGCAGAACTCAGAAAAAAAAAAGAAAAAAAAAGATGGTGGGCTCCAGAGCTGAGAGGAAGGAGGAAGCAATGGAAGGCATCTTTGCTCCGGTCTCGACCACGGGTATTCTTGGGTTGATAATACAGATGTGGATGTTATTGCTTGAGAATACGCGTAGTCGAGGGGAAGCTTAATCATCAATAATGGACCCAAAGCGGGGTGCTGTTCAATGCGCCGCAGTGGCAGAGCCTGGACAGACAATTGTAAATACATCGCCAGCCTGAGGAGGTGATACACACATTTGTTAGCTTTTAATGAAACACCAAGAAGCCATTTTTCAAATAACGATTTCCATCTCTTTTGTGAAGTTAAGTTTTTTGTTTTTTCTTCGTTTGTTTTATAGAATGGAACGAGGGCAAGCCAATAATCCAAATGGCCTTACATTTAAGTTAACTACCAACAAGGTTTTCAAAGCCATAGGTCTATCAATATGCTGCTATATAAACCTGTGGAGCAGATGATTTTCTATCCTGCCTGATTCAGACCCTCCTACCGAGATGCTGGCGCGAGAAGATTTGTACCGTGCCAGTAAGCTAAGCCCTCAGGGCATTAGTTCAGCAGGCTTAACAGAAAAGTCTTCAACTTAGACGCTAATTCCGACCTGATTGATTGCAAACACTGTTCATTCACAAGTGATCCCATAATCTTAACGGTTAACGGGAGTTTTTCAGGCTGCACTCAGGCTGAACGGGAGACGTACGGTATGGCTTCACAATCATAGCAGCTGTTTAAAGGTATTTTGACCTAAACGACCACAGTGCCAAGGTGGGCGTGCTCTGCCGTCGTCCTACTCTCGCATTTCCCATTTGCGACTTTCCAGCTCATGCCTAGGAAAATTTTGAATTTCAATCAATTCAATTCAATTTTATTTATATAGCGCCCCATCACAACAACAGTTGTCTCACAGCGCTTTCCAAACAGAGCAGGTCAGACCCTACTCTGAAGTTAATTACAGAAACCCAACAATTCCCACCATGAGCAAGCACTAGGCGACACAGGCAAGGAAAAACTTCCCTTTAACAGGCAGAAACCTCGAGCAGAACCATGGGGCGAGAGAAGGACAGAGGGAGCAGAGAGAGGCAGCCAACACAGCAACACATAGACTAGATGAAAAATGGCAATGATATTAATACTAATGATTATGGTAGAAGTTATGACAGAAATAACACTATGCAGAGTAGTAGTAGTAATTTGACGCCTGTAGCAGCGAGACGAGACAGCAACACGTGAGGACATGTAAAAGGCTCGCACCCATGGCTGACATTTAAGCATTTGACTCAGCTGACTGGCTGTCGCGATGGGAAATTCAGACTCACGCGAGCAGATACAGAACTGTACCGGGGGTTTTACGCACACCCCACATGCCAGCGAAGGGAAACAACTTTGACGGATCTTATGAAAACCGGCACAAAGATAGATGGTGAACATTCAAATGCACATACACATCGCAGCGCAAAGGTTCACTGGGTCCATGCGCCAGTGGGGAAATAAGGGATTGACTGCTTTTATGGCTAACTATTTTTGGTCAGAATGATGGATGTTTATGTCTTTTATTGATCAAGTTGAGGTATGGGTTTTGGAGAATTCTCGGACGTTCGAGCATGCTGATTAATCAGGTAGCAAAGGTGGTGGAATAAAACATCTCCGGTTACATTTTTTGTACATTAGCATTATTGCTAGGTATTATAATTTAGAAAATCAACGTCTCTTTGCAAAGTCAGCAGTATGGTAGCATCGAGTTGCCCCCCACCCTCGAAGATAAATTACACTTATCATTTACACTTCTGTGATTTCCTACCACTGTGTAAGCAATTCTGTGACAGTATGTAATGTTCTAATTAATCCAAATTTTCACTGACGTCGTCTGAACTTGTTGATCGGGCAAAAGCCATTTTTCATGGTTATGTGTATCTGTATGAACATGTGTGCTTCTAAGCAACAAAATGACTATTGTGAGCACAGCTCCAGGTGCCTAGCAACCAAAATCGCTCTGTTTCCTTGGCAACAGTTGCCTCGCACTCTCTGTGTGGGTGATTGGCAGCCTTGACAACAGAGACAGAGTGACACTTGACCTCGCGTGCTGAATGGGAGAGGAGAAAGAAGAAGAGAGGAATAGAGGGGAGGGGGAGGGAGTGGGAGGGGACAGGCAGAGACAGAAGAGAGACTAAGTGATAATCATTCTCCATTGTAATCATCCTCCAACGTGTTTCATAAGGCGTCGTCAATACCTCTCCAGCTGGGGTCCATCATCAAATACAAAACAAAGTGAACCGCACACATGCACGGACACACTTGTAGAGCCCAGGCAGGCACTCCGCATCTCATCTATTATCACTCAGCCCTGTCTGGCGCACAGCATCGCAACTCTTGTGTCTTCTTTCGTTCGTGGTCAGCTAAATTCTGCGATCTCTGGGAATTAATGGATACCGCACTCCTAAAAAAATGTGTTCCACGCTCACAGATGCCACAGCACAGTAGACTGGGAGCTGCCCACACAATCTGCCTTCAGCAGATTTGAATATAATTGCTGCAATTATTAAAATGTGTTTTTATGGGGTTTCATACTTTTCCATCTGCAAAATGATGGGGTAACATTGCGCGCTGCGTTCTTTTGCCATGGAAAAAAAGCTCATGTTTTTCATGAATGGTGTGTTTGATGATCAATCAAAAGTAGAACCGAACAAACTGAATTAAAAAGCCCATTTGGTAAGAAGTAAGAAGTGCCTTTCAATCTTATTGTATGTGAACTATGTAAGCCAAATTATACAAAATCTTCCCTGGCAACAATTCAAAATCATGTTTTGCTTCTATTAAATTCAAATTCAGTGAGTCTTTTTTATTTATTTAAATAAAACGGTTGAATGTCTTTCTGGAGTTTTACAGGGTTCTCAGTGTTCTTTTTTCAAATATATTATTGATATATGTGACTTGCAAAGCATAGCACTCTCACTTTTAATTACATTTAACATGGTTATCTAACCTATATTTTTTCAGAATGGGGTTGTAGTAATAAAAAAAATATCAATTTCTTTGGCAGGTTGACTAAAAACCAAGCCTTCATCCTAATAATAAAGCAGCTCAAGAGGAAGCGTGTGTCAAGTAATGCATTTCTCCTGTTTTGTCAGGGAATCGTATAACAGAAAAATAATGTGCCTTAGACTCTAGTAATAACCTTGACTATTCATTTATCTGTACTATGAACATTGTTTTTTGTTAAAACTATCTAGAAAACAAAACAAAAAAGAAATAAATGAATAGCACCGAGCCAAAAACAATGCGCTTGGTGGAATTTTTCTTCTTCATAAGGAATAGTCAGCTTTAAATGCAGTCCCACATACACCATCCTGCAGGAAAAAACACACAGCCAAATGCTTTTTAATCTGTGGGTGTGTATCGAGCTTGCAAATATTTATCTCTCTTGAACTGTACGTATGAAAAACATATGCATTCCTGATATTTTACTGAGTTTATTTCTTCATTAATCTGTATTTTATCTGCCAGTTCGCTTCAGTGGAATTAGGGAGGCCCAGAAAGAGGTGAGTTAGAAACTTTCGAGCATAGTCAAAATATGTTTTTACGACTTTGGCAAAAAACTCAAATTATCTGTTAATCAATAAATAAAAATGTTGATGAATGCAAGATTTACACTTCATCTATTTTATTAGGAGAACAATACATTTTGTTCATAGCGTTATACAAATATACACATAAACTCTAATCATCAAGTCAAATTCATTCATTCTCTTTTTTGACCACCCTTTAAATCAAATCTTTAGAAAACACAGAAATATGCTTTTGTTGGCCTGAAGTATAACTGTGTAGTATTAGAAAATTAGCACCCCGCTTTACAGATGGATTTCTAGAGGAAAAAAAACAAACTGCAACAATGCTTCTAAATAAAAATCATACATTCCTATTGAATGTGTTATTCAATTTAGTAAGCTAAAAACACCCAATTAATGACGACCTGACTTGATTAGGAACAATGAAAGAACACACAAAAGGAGCAGCTAAGCATAAACACTATACAGCTTTGTTTCCTTCTATAACAGGATGACCTAAAACTGTGACTTGATTCTAAGGGAATGGATGCTGAGTGACTTATGATACACTTATTATGAACAAAAATCACCCCGCCAAGCTAAAGGGGGACTGGCTAAAATAAACTATTTCGTAAATAATGAGAGAACTGGATGAACGACGGTATTTTAATGAGAAGTGATACGAAATGCAGTTTGGGACATCCAGCCAAAAAAGTTCCCTCCAACCAGACTTTGTAGAGACTGTCAGTCGACACCATTTTCAACTTGAAATGCATAAATACTTCCGAATGATGCTGAGAAAATGCCAAGATTTTGTTCTCCTATCTAGAGGCTGAAAAAAATTCAAAGTAATCTAAGAAAAAAAAAAAAAATTAGTCTCAAAACAATACCAGAATCAACTCAAAAGACTTTATAAAAACAATAAATTCCTGCTGAATGTGTGAAGATAAATCACAGTACTCAACACAGAACAAATGGTCTAATAAAAAAAGTGTTAATCTTTGATTTGTGGACAAACATTACACAAGAGGCAAAAAACTCTGATGACCTCGCAAACTGACCTCCCTGCCCCCCTAAAGAACAAACAACCGTCAATAATACAGCCGAAAGTGTCAACCATTCCCCTTTGACCCCTTTTGATCCAAATGGTTATATACTCCCAGCCACAAGCTCATCTTCTCCAAATTCCTGAGATGATTTCAGGTCCACGAGGACTATTGATTGGCTGCTTCACAGGCATCTATCCAGTCGCTGTACACATCAACTGGCTCTGAAAGATCTAATGAGAGTTGGATTAAGGACAAAACGGAGAGGATATATACTTGGAGGGGAAAGAAAATTTGAGGTCTCATATTCAGCATCTAAGGTTATATGAAAAGGAAGAACCAATCCTCTTTTAACTCTAATAACATATCCTCATAATGAATTAATTCAGCTGCAACAAAAAGACAACACAATGTTATCATATATTCAACAGGAATAAATCATATATTTAAATACAACAGCTTTCAGAAACACCTCTGTCAGCAATAACTTAAAGTAATATTTAATGTATAAGGTTTTTAAACTCACTGTGGTGGAAAATACCACTCTTTTACAAACACGGTCTAACGACAGCCGTTCAGTCAGGTGGAGGTCTGGTTTAAGGTGGGACCATTGCAACAATGTAATTCTTCTCTTTTTCATCAGTTTTTGTTCTGTATTTAGAATATGTGTCCTGTAAAGTGACAGTAAGACCTCACATTTGACTGTGATATACATTTAAGTCGACGGTGGAAGGTGCCATGGTCCCACGTCTGCAAAAATAAGCCTAAACCATCATTTTTGTGGCTGTGCTGACAGTTGGTATGATGTACTGTGTTTTACTTTTATTCAGTTGTTTTTCTGACGGAATAACATGCTTTAAATTATGATTAAACCTCTTCTCTTTGGCGTTGTGTCCATTTGTTCCAAGAGTCAAAACACTAACTGAACAAATCTAAAATCTTTCTCACTGGGGAGTAGATGACTCCAAATGGTTCTGAATAGTAATTCCCCAGATTTTACAGACAGCAACAACTGTAAGATCACTGCTGCTGTCTGCATTAAGCTACAGAGCAGTTTTTGCCTTTTGGCTTTTGCCCATATAAGCCTGCTGTACAGGCAACTGCGGGTTCAACATCTTACCCAACATGTAAGCCTGGATCAAACCACCAACACACCCATTGGCAGACAACTGCTCTTACACCTGAGCTACAGCTGCTTAAATTAAGCCAAATAGCAGCAGAGAGCCCAAACTTCTCTTAACAGAGGTGCTCACGTCTGCTGAAAATCAGTGAATCTCATGCATTTGATCTGCAAGCAAGTGGTTACTCTTGTAATACAAATGTTTGTTTTAGACAAATTAATCATCTCTCAAGGGGATGTTTTTCTTCCCATTTCCAAAGCACACAACCACTACAAGCTTGTAGAATTGTTTCCACTTTAACCCTCGAACCAAAGCAGGAGCAGTTACTGGAGGTTATGCCACCAGCCAGAAAACAGGAAAAGTGGGCAAGGTTGTCGAATTTAACAATTGGGGGCACACAAGAAAAGGAGCAGCTCAGTTTTTTTAAATGTTGCAGTACAATCTGAGCAACAATGCAAGAGAGAGAGAAATCTCATGCACTGAATTAGATTTGACTCCATTTCTTGGCCTTTTTACAGTAATTTGCATTGACTGAAGTATATTCTTTTATGTCTTGAGGCTTCATGGAGATCGCAAAAGGTAATGTGAGGTGCCTGTGTCAGTTACATCATTAGAACTTTGGCAAACACCAGAGGACAAGTGCAGTCAGTATTATCCATCCATGGATGTTTTTTACCAATGCCATGGTACTGACCTTCGAAACCACGCATAAGCATCTGCCTTTCTACAGCAAGCCCATTGTGACGCCTCTGGCTGACAACAACCGTGAGAGGGCAAACAAAGCCGTCACGGTGCGAAAAATGTCTACAGGCTGAAACGGAGCGCTGCGGAAGAGTGGTGGAACTGTCAGACCGACCAGAATACAAACAGCCACAGCGCCGTTATTGATTTATTGGACAATTCGGCAACAGTTTGAAGTGGCAGCCTCTCGTGGGTCAACAGTGCTGTCTGTTCCTCTTTTTTCCAGCAGCTGATGTAACCCTGTGACACTTTCAGCCACCAGCAAAGGAGTTAAATTAGAAACATGGCGTGGAGATTTAAGATATGGACCTTCCTGCAGAGTAAGCACAGTTTCAGTCCAACTTCACCTGACAGAATGTGAATGAACAGGTACAATGAATGTGGAATAATAACTATGAGCTGGCATTGTTCTACTGTTCGTGCCCAATACGAATGTAAAACATCCTGAAATAACAACTGTATCCTCCTTATCTTTCCAATTATTTTGTGCCTGTATGGAGAGAAAATGTCACAATATTGGTAAGAAAAGGATACATGTAATGGGGGTCTGGAACTCCTCCAAACAGACTGTGCACGATATTATTCCAGTATTCCGGCTTCTGTCCCTGTCGTGAGGAAACACAAGAGAAGTTGTCAACCGTCACCATCGCTGTCAAACGGAAAATATTGTAAAGCTGGGTTTAGAGGTGATATCGTTGACTTACATTTTCACATCACACGACTTCTCGTGGTTGCAAAAGGGGCAGGTAAACTGACTTTCCAGATCCCCGGTCATCTTTTTCTTAGGGGGAGGCTTTCTTTTCGACTTGCGGCGACCCATTTTACAAACGTGGAAAAAAACCTACTTGAACGAGGCAAAAAAAACAGAAAGCTTAAGGAAATCCAGCACATACGCTCGCGAAGATCGCAAAATATATCAGAACATTTTGACCCGTTACGTGTGCCGTTGTTGTTACACCCTGCTGCTGGGAAGTTAGCAGGCTAACGTTAGCATTTTTGTTGTTTATCTTGCGAGCAACTTGAATCGCCTCACAACAAGGAATACACATTTAATGGACTCTGCTAAGAATCTATCACTATCGACAACTCGATTAGTCTGAACCATAAAACACAGCATGGGTTAAATGTTAACGAGGACAACTTTTAGTTTGTTTACCTTTTCGTATTGATAACACACGTTGCAGTAGTGAACAAACGGATACCTCTCAAAGGCCCAGCACCGGTAACCGTCCGATTGAAATGATTGGAGGAAGCTGGCGCTTCTATGGTCCCTATTGGCTATCTGATGTGTCAGTCAACGTGACCGGTAATGACGAAACAGATGACGTGGAATTAGTTTATTCCCGCGTGGTGGCGACAGAAGCAACATACAGTGTGGTAAACTGAAAATAGACTCATGTTTCACGTTTTCAATGACACTGTTGTTGACCCTGCCTTCTTGTCAGATACAGTTTTAATGGCGTTTGTATCGTCGCTTATTTGTTGTGTGATACTAACAACAACGTTGCAACGAATTGGCATTAAAACACTCCAACGTTAATTTATAAGTCACTCAGCCATTCCCTCTCTCAGTATTGTGTGCATCAATATGTTTAAATGGAAAACTTTATTGTGAAGTAAATGTTGGGGTTGTAAATAGGGATATAAATGTTAGGACTTTGCACATACGTGAAATGTTCAATATGATATTTTAAACTGATTCATCGAAACAAGTAAGGTACAAAACAGTTGAGCAATTTAATCTGCCCAGTGACTTCATGCTAATATTTTAGCTGTGTAAGTTATTTTTTTGTAGGTGTGAGTATTGTGCAGTTTATAAAGAAATTACTATAAATTCTGCCAGTATATGTCAGCAATCACGTAAGAGAAGAGTCATGTTGTTGTATGCATACTGATATTTTAAAAAGAAAGCTTAAGAGCTACCTATTTAGGGAAGATTTCTATTGAACATCTTGACATCATGACAAATCTTTCACTTAAATGTTTGACTTTCACTTTCTTAGTATCTTGTTAAATCTACTTTAATTATTCTGATTAATGCATTTATTCAATATTAAATCTATGTATTTTATATAACTTTTGAAATTACATTTTTCCAGTTTTTGTTTTTGCATAACTTTTCCATTTTTACTCTAACCATCAAACTTGCAGTCTCCTACTTTCCCTAATTCCCGAAGGGTTAAGACAGCTCTTAAATCCCATCATTCTGTCTATATTTGTGTGCATATGTATGACTTGTGTGTTTGGAGATTGGGGAAGTTAGTTGTCCATGTTTTTCTTTTTCTTTTCTTCATGTATGTCTTTTTTGTCTATGTCTTCCTTCTTCTTCTTAACAATTTTGACTGCAAAATTCTTTAAAAATAAAGATTGCCTGATTAATCATATCACTTGGTTAGGGCTTAAGTAGGTTGGTGTTGGACTTCACTAAACCGTTGCATGTTGTCATGCTGTGGTAGATTTCAATGATGGTGACCATGAAGGTGGTTGGCCTGGGCATAGTGGCCCTCACTGTCAGCCTGGAGCTTTTCGGCTGGTTCCTCAGTCGTCTCAGGCCGAGAAGAACCCTCAATGAGGTTCTGTTCTTCCCCTCAAAGGTGGCATGCGTGGAGCACACTTTTACTCCCAATTCACATCAGTAAGTGAAATACATTTTAATCTCTCCATGGTTCTCCTCATGACAGTGTCGTGACCTGTTGATTGTGTGTCTCACGGCTTCTAAAGACAATCAATAAAATTAGTAATTTTCATTAGATTTCTTGCAAGGCGTTCAAGAAGTTTATTAAAGAAAAATAACAATGATCTATTGGTACATTTTCAGTTTGAAAAATATTAGATAATATGAAAAATGATTACGCCTTTGATAAGTATGAAGAAGTAGACTTTTGTGTGATGCTTAAACATAAATGGACTCCCCCCCAAAATGTGACGTTTAAGTATATAATTACCATAAAAGCAAAAATGCAGGATTGTAACTATAATGTTGCATGTGACTGATTGTTACATGCATTTATTTTTACTCTAAAATTTTACTCTCTGGAAACTAAATATTGGCCCCAATATTTTGAGACTGACCTGTTTCTATCAACTACCGACAAGAATTCGTCATAGGAGACATAAATGTAGGGATCCTCATCATAAGAGAAAAAGAATTAGTGAACTGGGACCAAATAAAAAATGTTATATTCTGTGTTGGGTTCACAAACTTATAAAATGTATCTGAAATATCATGAATACAATTACCAGCATCCACAGCTTCATACAAGATGACTGATAAATGTGTCAGACTCTGTACTTTTAAGGACTTTTAAGTATCTGCGTTGCTAACTAACTTTTTTCTTGGTCTCTGTTCCTCCAGTTCTTGTTGCTGCTCTTTGCCTCACAGCGTAGAGACTTCTCTTTCCCATCTTCTCCGTCGCATCCTTTCTGCCTCCACCTCTCTGGACGTGTGTCTTTTTTCTTTTTCTAACATGGATCTGAGTAGGGCTGTGCTACTGCTGCACAGCAAGGGTGTAAGCATCCGAGTCATTTCTGACAAGGACTACTCCGCCATTACTGGCTCCCAGATAGGGATCCTTCGCAAGGCTGGTAAGGTATACATATATGTCTATTTTTCATTTGATCACATTAATATTGAATTTTTCCATCAAGTTCAATTACAAAACATCATTATGGTTTAATACTGACCCACTGAGACACATATGGCACAAGATTTTAAAGTCTCTTTGACGCCTTTATTATAGACACATGTCCTGAACGATATAAGGTTAAAAAAAATTGGTACATGTCGTTGAGATACAGGAAGGAGGATGATTGTCTTAGTCATCAGAAAAAAGCTCACTCCACGTTCCTGAAATTCAAGTGTCATTGTCAGGAAGTCCCAGATGATTCTCAGTAGTGAATAGGGAGAAAATGGGATGTCAGGGGTTAGCCGGGGCTGCTTCCACAGGCCCTTCATTGAGTCAGAGTAATGGTGCTCTGAGAGATTTGTGCCGCTTGTCTGACTCATGCTGTCTCACTTTTTCACGCTGCTCTCTCTATCTGCATTTAGTAAATCACTGCCTGTGGTTTGGTAAGAATTAAGTAAGTACAGAACTGGCAACCAGGCAGCAAATGTTATTAGGCAAAGTGTTTCATCGCGTCTGTGCAAAAACTCTTGAAAATCTCTTTGGCATAAGGAACAATAAAATCCCCCTCTCGTACTGATTATTTTTGCAAAACCCTTTTTTTTCCTTCTGGACGCCTCCAGCACATAGTAGCTTAGCTAACAGTCACTGGTTGACTGTTAGGGACTATTCACCTGTGTGAGGAGGCCCTTAAGATGATCTCAGAGGGACATCTGCCATTCCCCTCCTTACTTAGAGTGAAAAAAGAAAAAGAAAAAAAACATTAATACAGGTGTGAGATGTGTTCTTGGAAGAGAAATGCTCAGAAACTTTCTCATGCTCTTAACTCACTGTAACCTTGTTTCCTTCTCTGTAGATCTGTAGATATTAATAATTGTTTAGGTTTGGCTGCTCTGAATGTAACCATATATATATATATTTGATTTTTTGTTATACATAGGGACCCATTTTACTTGCTCCAAATTTCCTACACAGCTAACTAGGGTCAACCAGCATCTTCTGCCACACCCCAAATTAAATTACATTCCTGATTGAGGTTTTATTATCCGTTCCCTTTTTTCCACTGAGAGCTCTCTGCTGGGGACATGGTTCCTGTCAGTCAGCCAGCAGCAACAAATGGTTTAGCTCAGCAAGCACGCGCAGTTAACTCCTTAAGATGTTTAGGCTTGAGTCAAATAAGTAAAGTTTTTATTAATTTATTTTAGAATCTTTTATTAATGAACATCCTCCAGTGTGTGGCAGTTCTATTTATTTTTTTTTGTCAGAGGTTGAATGTTTCACATTTTCATTTGAATGACTTTTCCTTTACCATTTTAAGAAAATGATAAAATAATTATTTTCTAAAAGTAAAAAAGAGTAGATGTTTCTGCAAAAATAGGAAAAAAAACAAAACAAAACCAACAGCATTCTAACATTCATTAAAACCAGTGCAACAGTTGAAAAGCCCTTTTTTTGGTGAATTTATTATATCCAAAGTTTCACCTTTACACCATAAATATTAATGCACATAAAAAAGTAGTTGGACTCTATCTGTCTTGAGCAATAGTTCCCAGTTAAAGCGTTGCTGGTTTTTGCCTTTTGGCTTTTCCCAATAGGGTTCGCAACAGCGCGTCAACCTGTCAATCTTTTGACAGGTTATATAGGTGGTGGCTGAGGTAATACATCTAAATTGCATTTACCAGCCACAAATTACATACCTAGGGTTATTTGAGGATCATTGATTGTCCAGTACTGGACGATGAGACAGCCTTGCTTGGCTTGGTGGGTGAAAGGTTTTCTTTAAAAAAATGTCCCATCTGCTGCTTGTTGTTTAAGTTTATGTATACGTCTAGTCATTGATTTGGTTAGGGTTAGGATTAAGGATAAGGACATTTTCTATACCCAAATGGGGTTGGAGCCTATCCCAGCTGACAATGGGCGAGAGGCAGGGGGTACACCCTGGGCAGATTGCCAGTCCATGACAGGGCCACACAGAGAAAAACAACCACAGACACTCAAATTCACTCCTAGGGGTAATTTGAAGTGTCCAGTCAACCTAACATGCATGTTTTTGGAAGGTGGGAGGAAGCTGAAAACTTGGAAAGAACACATGCAAGCACAGGGAGAACATGTAAACTTAACACAGAAAAATCCCAATTCCCGGTGAACCTTGACACACACTATGCTTGTTTATCAAATGTAACAATTTTTTAGATAAAAAGCTTTTAATAAACCTTATTTAATTACAAAGCCTCTAATTAAACCTGTTATTAATTGCTGTTATTAATTGCATCCCACCTGATTCACATAATAGACCATATAGCTAATACAAACAATAAAAAGCAGAACCAACTATAAATTTGAACTGACACATAATTTATTCTCATGTCTTTGTTATTATCTATGAGAAATGCCAAAGATAACACCGTGGAAAGAAATTCAATCTTTTTTTAAGCACCAGGAATGTGATGCACAAGGAACTATCATCTGAAAGATCTGCATATTTCACTTGTAATAATTCATGGTGTGCATTGTGATCATAAAAATGTGAGGAAGTCGAATAAGCAAACAAAATATTTGACAGACTTTAATATATATATTTACATATATTTTAATCCATTTACTCTTTAAAACTACTCTGTAAAGAAACATTCTTTACCCTGAGCCAAGAAATAATAGCTGATTGGATCAATACAAATACAGTACACTGCTGGAGATTTAATTATTTCATCCCATTCTCCATCTTAACTTAACTTGCATACCGTTTTCCGCCACAGGGATCTCCGTGCGGTGTGATGGCAGCTCCGTGCACATGCATCACAAGTTTGCGGTGGTGGACAGCCGGCTGCTCATCACAGGCTCCCTCAACTGGACGCTGACAGCAGTGCAGAACAACAAGGAGAACGTCCTCATCACTGAAGAGCCAGACCTGGTGAAACCGTTCATTCAGGAGTTTCAGCGGATATGGCTGCTCAATGACCCTGCCCAAAACTACCAGAACATAAAACTAATTAGCACAGTTCAGGAAGCGTAGACATTAAGGGTTTATGTTACATTTGTTCAGGCAGCTTGGCAAAAAGCACCTCAAGGATTGCTCAGCTTTTGACATGAAGAGATTGTGTTGACTTTTGTTTTTTTGGACGAAATTACTCTTACTAGAGGAGATGACGGAAGTTTTATGGCTATTGTTGTATTTGCAATTAATCAGGCCAAATCTATATTTAAGAGTTCCTAGTTTTTACATTTTTCCCATTGCTCATTGTTCCATTGGTCCTTTTGCACAGCAGTTCCTGGACAATCCTGACCATTACGTTTGTGCTCATGTATTCAGTCCGAAGTCCGAAATGGTGTTTGTGTTTTTCTGTGAGAATTTTATTTTCTTATTAACATTATATCCTTTCACACATTACCTCTCATTTTAAAACTTTGTGAACTGGGCTTTAAAATCTATACTTTTCATTCACGGTTGTGGCCCAGTACAAATGCAATACTGTGTTTGCAACTTTGATTTAAATTAGTGTTTTTCTTTGAATTAAAACCAGTCTACAGATTATGTTCAACTGGTTTAAATAAGCAGCATGTTATTGTATTATTTTTGTGTTGTTTGGGGCTTTGACTGCTGTTGCAGACTGTTTTTGAAAAAGTCCAAATAAATTCCTTTGTCACACTGTGGTTTAGCAGGTCTGTTACACCAGCAGACTATTTTTTTTTTAAAAGTCTAAATAAATTCCTTTATCACACTGTGGTTTAGCAGGTCTGTCACACCATTTACCCTCAGGTGCTGTGTTTTCTTGCTGCAACATGACTTACTTTTCCCCAAATATTTTAAAAGGCTCATCACTTGCTGTTTCCCAGCAACCAGAGGTGATCTGGTTAGAACATGATGATGAATACGCCTTTTCTCTAAGCTGTTCAATCTCAGGCTGACGCTAGAAGGTGTGTTGGAGTTTCATGTTACATTCAGATTGGTAAACTTTTGTGTTGTGAATATTACACATAACACATCACGTGCTATTTTATTTTTATCCAATATCTAAAAAGCCAATTTAACATAGAGTCTATCGATTTTGGCTTCTCAAGTTACTGTGCAACTTATTCTGCCCCAACCAACACATCTGCGGCCTGAAGTTTATCAGTGTTAGTGCGTCAAGCAAGAGAAGCAAATCAAAAACTCCGGAAATAGAGAGGTTTAACTTCAAAATTAAATGTCAGTTTTCATCTTAGGAGAAAACGTCAGAAATGTTTCTGTATTTAAATCCTTTGGATATTTCTCGATTATTTACTTTTTAATTATTCATTTCTTTGAAGATCATTTTGATTTGTCATATTTGGATTTTGGGATGTGGGTGAGTGAAAATAAAAAATGTGACAATGCAGTATGTATAGTTGCATTTACCCAAAAATCACCAAGGTTGTTCACTATTGAACACTTTAAACTTGACCAAAAACCTTTAATTAAAAGTGACATACTACACCAACCCCTGGTTTTGAAAATACTCCATTTGTTTTGGTCATTTCAATTCTGCATTGTTTTAATGTTCAGTTTAGTTCTGTTTTCTGATGCTTTTCTAGAAAGAATTAGGTGCCATATTTATGTTCTTCTATTTTTTTGTTTTTCTAGTTGCATAGTATTGGAGAGGACTGGTGTTTTCCAAGTTTAATTGCCATATGAAACTCGTTGCCTCAATGTTAAGTTAAGAGAACAAACATTGTTCACTATCATCCACTTAAATTGTTGGGAACATTGTGATGTATGAGTATGACATAAATAAATCACACCAGTTCCTTTTTAAAATGACAAAAAAAATTCTAATTTGTTCTTATTGGTCAAAGAAGAAAGTTTTCCCACTACATCTTTGTACTTGTACTTGTTTGAGGGGTTTCTTTTCTTTATTTTGAAAATGTGTACCGGAAGTGTTCTCGCAATTTCCTTACTGAATTGGTGGTTTGAGCCACAGATGTCCCAGCGTTGGGCGCCGTGAGGAGATCCGGCAGCGGAGCACCTGAACGGCAGCACGACCCACCCTCTGGCTCTTTGGTGGAGGTGGAAGGCAGCGGGGAGGACAGGTTGACTCGTAGTAAATTACTTCTGAGGTAATTTGTCATGGATGCAATTGAAATGTGACCAGTTATTTCTTTTGTTTGTTGGTTTGTTTTACGGAGTGAACGTATGGTGGCTCTAAATCAACGGATATTGACGAACTGTTCGACGTCAGCTTCGACCTCATGATGTTATGTTAACTTTATATTTGTTTTTTAAAGATATGTAATATGTACTATTAAGTTAAACAAGTTGAATTGGCAATGTGGTCTTAATTAAAAGCATTCATATCTAATGTTACGCCTTTGTTTAAACTCAGAGGGGCACTTGTTTTCAACATCTAAAGTGATTGCAGAAACCTCCTCTCAACAGTTTGAGGGTAGTTGTGCTGATGAGTCGGCGCATGCGCGGTGTCGTGCGGCAGAACGCCGGCCAGTGCCTCCATTAGGATCTTGGAAGTGGGTAATGCTGAGCTGGTCTTTAGAGACATCTCATCAGCAGCCAAGGAGGAGTGCTACTCTGTTATTCCTCGGGGAGGGGATGAAGGGGGAGCTGAAGTAAATGGATGGCTCAGCCGCATCATGATGTGGAGGGTTTAAGGGAGGGGATGGGCGAGATATAAATGAATTATGACAGGGAGGATGTGTAGACGCATGATTCTGGGCAAGTTAAGGGAAATAGATGACAGTGGGTGTGTATTTATGGGTGTGTTTGTATTTAAGTGGGAGCGCCTGTGGGTGGATTAATGGTCAGGAAGGTGATGGATGAAATGCACCAGGAGGTTAAGAGAATCTATTGCCCTCAGCATGCCACTCGTTTTTTTTTCTTGATCCTATAAGTTTCTGTAATGACTTCATTTGACAAACAGCCACAGGGAGCAATAGGTGACTGATAATGGGGGAAACAGAGGAAGGAGCACACTCTGGCAGTGATTTAGGGCACAGTGATGAGCTCTAAGAGGGGTAAGGAAGGCAGGTAGACAGGCATTTATTCCACTGGTTGTTAAGTAGATGGAGGCAGCCCTCTCGTACACATCACTCACATCGGGAAAATATTTTTAGAAGGTGCAATCCTCGAATGTGCACTTCTTTTTTTTTTTTATTACTGCCTTAATTTATTTCAATCACTTAATCTTAGTTTTATTCTATTTTTTCATTACCTGCTCATTTGACAAGGATTCTGTTGTTAAAAAAGATATAGGCAATTATCTGTAAATTTTATATTTTTTTTACTTTGTGTAGGTAGTTTTGTCATGGGCAAGAATGGTGTCTTCATTCTTATCTATAGCAATATCATCACACAGTGACCCTCTACAGTGACTATTTCATTTTCTTTTATTTATTAAATTTAGACAAGAAATATTCATTAGTATACTGGAACAGTATAGTTGGGGGGCAATATAAGGTGTGTAGCATGAAAACATAATCAAAACTTTAACAGGTAAGTCGTTAAATCCTAAGAAAAATACTTAAGCAAATAATTTAAATATGACTTTTTTGTCAGTTTCTTTCAGCTTTAATAATTTAAAATATTTCTAAATATAAATTGAACTTTTTACTGTGGTAAATGTATTTTATGTGTCAGTCCTCTCCTTGATGTACAGTCATGAAAGTGCATGTAAAATCTTTCCTGGTGGTGTGAAAGGCGAGGTGTAACTTCTCGATCTATCTGCTGTATTTTACACAGTCAACAATCATAGCGCTTATCTGTGCTCTCAAACATGGACTTATAAATCTCAAGACATATCAAGATGGATCAGAGAGCACCCCCCTCCAACTCAACTTCTGTTCTCCACAGCTAAACAAACTGTATAGTCCAACTTCTCTCTCAAAAGTGATTGTTTATGACTCGTTCCTTCTCAGTTTGGTTTGAACTTGAGTGACATGATCGATGACCAGTTGACTCTCTCTGACTAGCTGATAAGATAACCCACAAAGGGATTTTTTTTCCTGCTGCATCTCATTACCAGCACTTAACCCATATTAAGATCTGCTCTCTGCCCCTAGCTGAGTCCTGAAGTTGAATCTTTTACTGGAAATAGTTCTCTAAAATGTGTTTGATTGTTGATTCTCTCCTGTATCCTTGTAAATCGCTTTTAATAAAAAGATCTGCTGAGAATATGGATATAAATGTTATGCAATGTTTGTCTTAAAGATGGCAAACCAAAAATGGATGGTGTAAAGGAAAATAAAAAACAATGATCCCATTTGAGACTCTTTTGGGGCTCTTTGTTTGATAGATGGCGTTAGCCAGAGATCCAGTCAAGGAGCAGAGAGATGCCGCCGACCAGAACTTTGACTACATGTTTAAGCTGCTGATCATTGGCAACAGTAGCGTGGGAAAGACGTCTTTCCTGTTCCGCTTTGCAGATGACTCCTTCACCTCGGCTTTTGTCAGCACCGTGGGCATCGACTTCAAAGTCAAGACCATCTACAGGAGAGACAAGAGGGTCAAACTCCAGATATGGGTGAGATGATGAAAAATACTGAGAGCAGACTGTAGTGATGTAGACTGTCCACTCCATAAAAGATGCAATTTGCAGCTTTTTGTTTTTGCAAGTATGTTGAAATATTAGGAATACATTTTGTTTCCTTTGTGAGCTTTAGAAAAGTTTGGTTTTCATGAACTTTAATACATAAGAGATTTTTTAAGTAGATAAAAGCTTAGTTCAATCCTTCGGCTTTTGCCTTTTTATTGACATCTAAGGCACATATTTGGATAAACCGTCTGTTAAACTGTGCATCCTCACAGGAGTGGTCAGCAGCTTGGAAAGTAGTTAAACCAGGAAGTCTACCTCGGCCCTATTACCTCAGAATCTGTTCATTTTTCACATTTTTACAAAGCTGTTAATGTTTATATTTGTACCTTTACATAACAGAAACACTGTGAAACAATTTGACATCTGCATTTGTTGCTGCGATTCACAGCTTTACTCTCACATTCCACAGCGGAGGGACAGCATTGTAACCATGAACTGTCACTATTCTGAATTCACTTGAGACATCTTTCTTTACAAGGATGTGTGTTTGTTTTTTTGTTTAACTTTTTGTTTAGTATCTTTCAATACATTTTTTCTGGGAAAAAGAAATGTAATTATCAGGGATGTTGCCCAAAATTTGAACCGTCTTTAAGTTATGCTTCATAAGAAGAATTGAGAGATGAATGAGACAGAAAGTTGGACGTATAACGTGGGAACATTTACTGAGTCGGGGAAGGACAAGTTTAATATTCTTTCCTGTCAAATTTTACAGTATAAGAATTTCAGTTCAACTGACAGTCATCCCATGCACACGTTTCTGGATGATAAAAGTCCGATAAACCGCAGAACACATTTGATTATTTGGTCAGAGTAGAGTCTTTGGCCTTTGTTCATGTATTAATACTAGAAGGTCTGAACAAGTTTAACAGTGAAAACACTGAAAATGAGCAATAGAGCAGGTTTGCAAAGTTGTATCTGAGGAATGACAAAAGTGTAGAATGTCTGAATAAGAACAGAATGAAGGTTTTAGAATTATCCAGTTTAAGTGTTTACCTCAACGTGACTCAAACGCCACTGAGGGACCTTAACAGCTCTCAACCAGTTTTGACATATTCTCCATTTTCTGGGCCTAAATCAAATTATTGAGGAACTCTGAACTTTCTTCTTCCTGGGTGTGTGGGCCTTTTTCCATTTATAAATATACTTATTTATCTGCTTTTAGCAAATCAGTTACAACTTTGTATGGGTTGTTTTTAGGTGATTGATTATGGATATTCATTTCTTGTGCCTTAAAAGAATATTTGGTTGCTTTCTCATTCTGTTCCATGCCTTTGATCACCTGTGCTGCGAGGCAAGTGCCGGCAATATATAATTAAGATTGAATCAAGTATGATGCTATTTATTGACATATCATCTGTAAATCAATGCTTTTGGTAATAATCTGGTTAATTTGAATAGGAAAACCAGAACAATGTAGTCACATCAGTGGTGGAGAGATGTGCATGTTTTTTAATTTTTTACAATGATTTTTTACATTAATTAAATGCAGTCAGGGTCCTCAATGGACAAAGTGTTTTAGCTGACAACTTGAGCCATAACAAACATTTTACTTTGGTCTGAAGAACCTAATAATAATGTCTGTAACAATGCTCTGAAAGCTCTTTCAATTCCTTTACAAGATAAGAAAGAAAAGACTATTAAGACTGAAAATGTTTGACAGAGTCTCTATCAGCTAAATGGAATATAAATTGCCCCAGTGTCAGTAATGTCAGAGCTGTAATGTGCTGTAATTTACTTGAGATGACTAATGGCACTTGACTGTGGTTGAGAGGATTTAAAATTCATCTTTCAACTAAAAGGACAGTGAGTGCTGCTCTTCATTCAGAACACAACATAGGCAGTTTTCTCTCACCCCGCTCCTTTGTTTTCCCTTCTCGCAAGCTTTTGCCTGTCATGAATTTCAACCCATTCCTCGTACCGGAGTTAATGACAGTTGATGTTTAACATTGTCGTCAGACGGCAAGCTTCATGAAAGATGCATGCGCTGGAGCAGCCGGAGCCGAACGTGCTTAGTCTGCACACTGACACCGGGGACAGATCTATTACTGAATGTTAGGGAAAGGCAAAGACTGACCCCCCCCCCCCCCCCCCCAGTTCTCCCAACCGATTAAAGCACTACTCTGTTGTTATTTGGTATATTTTAAAGAGTAACATGCTTTCTGTGATATATTAAAACCTTGCAAAGATTCTTCTTTGACATGACAAAAAACTGTGCAGACTTCTTAAAATATTTTTTTTTGTATATCGAGCATATGATGAGCATGGCTTTCTTTTATTCCGCAAAATAATGTCTTAAGAGTCATACTTACAGTGTGCTCCAGTTCCGTTAGGAAAATGCGTTGACATATTCCGCAGAGTTTGATTTTTATTTTTACGATTTATTAGGATTTAAACAAGAAAAATGTCAAACCTGGGAAGTCCTGGACTGTACAGAGGTTTTATCTGTTTCCAGGACACGGCGGGGCAGGAACGCTACCGGACCATCACCACAGCTTACTACAGAGGAGCCATGGGATTCCTGCTCATGTATGACATCACAAGTCAGGAGTCATTCTGTGCTGTTCAGGACTGGTATGTAAATCTAAAGATGTACACTTTTTTTATTTTAATCAAGCTGGTATGATCTAAATTAAGTGTTTAAACTATTTTTTAACCAAAAACCCTTGAACACATGTTTTTGGCTCTTTGGGATTCTGGATAACTGTAAGAAGATGTGGACTTTTTATTCATTACAGTCACTGGTGCAGAACGTTATTTCATACATTCTTTGGCTGAATTAATCAAGATGTTCGCAAAATGCAGTCCCGTACCAAGAATGATTTGCTTGTTGCATTGTGTTCTGTGTGTCTCCCCCATCATGTTAGTTCAGGGAAATTTAAAGTCTGTAAGGTGGAGATGATCATATTTTGATTTCTGTCCACAAAAGAGTTTCATGCTCTTTCTCAGTCTGTTTAAAATGAACTCAGACCCAGAGGAAGCATGCATTTGTGACTGTCTGGATGCTGCTTATTATGTTCTCTATACAAAAAGGTACAATTCAGCCTATCTAATAAATAAAAAGAAAATGATTGTGAGAAAAACTATACATGTTTAATCAGAGATTATTGTATAGAAGGTGGCCATAGATGATATTGAGTCACATCTTGGGCTAATTACTATTTTAAAGCTTTCAGTATAGGTGTTTTGAGGCATTTAATTTACTGCTCATTTGTGTTTGTGAGTGTTAAAGGGGCCACAAGTAGATGGAAAATGGCTTATCTCCTCATCAGAAGGTTTGCTATTTAGTCCACAGCCTCCACATATGTTGAAGTGTGTTCTGATTAGGCACTAAGCCTTTAGTGACTCCCAGTGGCAGATGCTTATGTTATGAATACCTACAGCCACGTGTCAATGAGGATCAAATGACGAACGACGAGAAAAAAAGCCCTATTTGCACGATGATTACGATGACTTAAAGCTATACACTGTTTTATCGTGTCATTGATTTTCATGATTCATGTTTGTCTACAGGTTATTTTACATGGCCATTTTTAGCCAGTGAACCCCCACATGTCTCTAAGACAGGGAATATTCAATGTTATCCAACATTACATCTCAGATTCCCTCGATGGAAGAAAATGAATGAAAAAGCCAAACAAAGTTAAAAGAATTTGAATTCTATAGCTGTTGAAAAAATATTGCTTTATGAAACAGAAATCAAATAAGAGATTGGGTAATAAACGTGAGGAGAGACAACTGTTTGTTAGTTTTCTTTTGGGCAGTGTTGTTGTTATCTTAGAAATTCAATTTTTCAGATAATATTCAAGAACATAAAGTTGCGTTAATCATTTATCAGTTGCGTAGATCTTTGACCATTTATTTAACTTGTTTGTCTAAATATTTTATCACAAAAAAAAAGATTAAAGGAATTGTGGATAATTTATTATTCTATGTATGAAATTTTGACATGTAAAATGGACATGTAAACATTGATTTCTCAACTGTGATTCATTTTTTTAACCACTAACATCACCCCTCTCCTAACATCTGAACAAATGAGCACAAATTATTCAACATGTATAAATATTGTAAACTGTTATTTATATATTTATTCTGTGCAGCTAACTTTCTTATGAATAGGTTTACGGTAACATGCAAATAAACTACCACCTGTGTTTTTGTGTTATTCATAGGTTTAAGCTTTTCTTTTTTTATCTTCTGATACAGATTGGTCCATTACAAAGACAAATCTTAGAAGAACTGACCAACTAACCACTAACTTAAAAAAAAAGAAAAGTAAAATGATACTTTACAATTGATGACAATTTTACTCTTGAGGCTGATATATTGGTGGAAAAAGTCATATTTTGTGATTAGAATTTTGAGTTATTTAAATGTCATCAGTATCAAAACTGTTCTACTCTAGGTTTTGATTAGGAGTATTCCTCTGTGACTTTTCATCTGTTGCCTTTAAACAAAGCTGTTACACACACAAACATATACACACTGTATTTGCCATAGAGCTGTTTTCTTCAGTGCTCTGAAAAGGAATATTTTCTTTTGGGTCAGCAGTTATGAAAATGTTCTGTTGCTGTTTTCCAGGGCAACCCAAATCAAGACTTACTCATGGGATAATGCTCAGGTGGTACTGGTGGGCAACAAACTGGATTTGGAAGAAGACAGACAAGTCCCAACAGAGGATGCCCAAAGAGTGGCCACAGAGCTCGGTGAGCATCCAAATAGTTTTTGACTGACAAGCTGTATTCCCAGTTCCTGATCTAAAACTGTTACAAATGCACACTTAACTCCAATTTTAAACCAAACCATAAGCTAGTGTAATTCAACGTAATTGTAAATAATAATGAGATTAACAAAATTAGGAAGTGTACAAAGAAATATCCTCATGTATTGTGTTTTTGTCAATTTTTAAGTAGTTCATTTAATTATTTTAATTATTTTTCGAGGAATCTTGTATAAAAATTGTTAAGATGTTTTCCCTATTTACATCAGTGTAATTGATATTTTAGTTTTTCCCCTTTCTGTCTGTAAGAACAGAATTATATTTTGTGAAATAGAAAGTTTTTCATTTGTCTTTCCTCATGGGTTTCCTCATTAATTTCTCAACATTTCAGAACTGGGTTATTTTGTTGTGACCTAGCTAATACTCCATACTTTAATAAAGTGGTATTTTTTACCTTTTTTGTTCCCCCTCTCCCTCCACAGGCTTCCAGTTCTTTGAGGCAAGTGCTAAAGACAACATCAATGTGAAGCAGGTCTTTGACAAGCTAGCGGACGTCATTTGTGAGAAGATGAACGAGACGGTCAACGGCGATGCCAGCCTGCCCGCTGCTCAGAAGGGGGACAGCCTTAAGGACGAGCCGCTCACGAGTCAGGGCGGCTGCGCATGCTGAAGATGGGCACTCTAAAAAGGATCCACATTTCAAACCAAAACAGACGACCTGTTTGCCAAAAATCTGTCATGCTGCTGGAATACTGAATGTTCATCTCCCTCTCCATTTTCTTCAGGTGATCTTTCATCAGCTCAGCTGCGAATCAAACACGTTCCTCACAATCGCAATGTGACTGTTACACTGAGAAGCCAAAGAGCTGCAGTTGTGCCTTTTTCCTGTTTACACAGTGTAGTGGGTGAGCAGCGCCTATGGCAAGTGAGGATTCCAAGTGTAAATGAAAAAAAAAAAGAAAAAGCATGAGCTACATCAGCATGGCACAGATTCACATGATGTACTTGTGTTATACTGACCCCTTGTGGCAGTTCTGTGAAGCTGCATCAGTCTTTGCTGATTATTGCTGTTCCAAGTCAAACAAACCAGAACGATGAGGCCATAAGCATGTGACAATTACATCATTTTTAGGTGTGCGTTCATACTACACACCCAATTTGATGTGTTGGAAAGGCATTCTAAGTTTGTTCGTTTTTCTGTCTATTTGTATATTTAATAAATAATTCAGCAATGCTAACAGTAGGCCTCTTAACTTTGAGTATTTATCTGTGCATCGTGTTCCTCTGTCTTCATTTACACAAGGTCAATGACGAGCAAAAAAAGGAATAAAGCTCCTCAAGTGTCCGTGCTGTGTTGTCATCACTAATTCAACACTAAAACAATTAATCAGTCAAGTCACACATTTATCTTTTTTCTATTTTATATAGAGTGTTGGTGTTTGTTCAACATATCAGAATCAGTCCACCCTGAGGTCTTCTGTAAAATTAAGCAAATAATTTAACAGACATCAGCACATGAGTTGGTTGTAATTTTTTTATTTGTTTATAACAAAGACTTTGGTCATGGAAAATTTTTATCATTTTGTGAATTTGAGAAATGTTTCCTGGTTGACCTAACTTTGTGACGTATTGCCCATAAATTCTTGCGTGTTTGTGTGAAAACCTGGGAGCAGATAAAGCTTCCCTCCGAAGCCTCAGTGAGCACACACTCCTGAACAGTTTCAGTGGAAACGTGGACGTCGTATACAGGTATGAGCATTTTTCTTTATGAACTATTTTTTAACAAAATATCCATAAAAAATTCTCAAATTAACATATTCTTTTCTCTAAACACAATCATATTGACCAAATATGTCTTATGCATCTACTCTGACTTTTTTGATAGCTTTAAAAAAAAAGTAGAAAACAGAGTCATGAACAGTGTACAAACAGTGTTCTCATTTTTCCATTTGAAACAAAACTTTGATCCAGAATTGATAAAAATTCTTATCATGCTCATTCTTCAGAAAATTGAAATATCAACATTATAGTCAAAGGTTACCTTTATGAATAATGTTTAAAAAAAAGTTATATGTGGTCCAACTTCTGTGTAGAAAACAAAACCGATTTGATCAGCCAATACATTTCGGGTTAACACAGCTAATGTAGACAGTTAAAGTGTTTCTCTTAAAAACTGTGTCAAGATAAAGTTTTTTCATCTTCTCTTGTAACTTTTGTTACTGGTGTCATGTCAGTCATTAACATTTTCATTGACTCTGCGAAGCAACTAACAGTTTGCTCTGTTGACTTCTGAATAAAACTGCCTCAATAACCATAAAACTGAGCAATGATACGCACAACAAAGCTGTGACACATGTGAGGTAAAGATTAGAGTGTTCTTGTTTTATGGCTGTATTTTCTACATGACTGCCGGGAAGATGTTGCTTCATTTTTGATTAAACAAGGTGTGTTAAGAGCGGTAAAAGGTGCGGTTTTCTTTAAATGCAACAAATACAACTATCTTCTCCCTAAAATAAACACACTTTTCTTCCTCTTCAGTGGTGTTAATAAAGTTAGAAACTTCAAAAATGTACCTCTTCTATTAGGAAAATCCAGCTGAAAGAAGTGAATTTCTTCCTCTTTGTTTAATGGTAAATTAAAAATTGTAAATTCCCATAAAATGCACAGCAGAGAGAAGAGGACACCATGAAACAGATATACGTTTACCCAAAAGTCCAACAAAAATGTATTGATTGGTTTACTCGTGAGACACTTCAACCGAAACACTGTATTGTGTGAGCACGTACAACCAGACTTATTTAAAGAAGATTAGAACTTCCCTCTTACCCCACAGTTAATATGTAACCAAAGCAAATGAAATGCTGCTCATATATGTGGCTGCATGTGTTTAAAGCCAGCTCTGTGACATCAATCTTTCTCAGGGACATAAAAAAAATGCAAAGTTTACACCAATGATAAACTAAGGACAATAAATGTATATATGGAAATAATCCATATATTCAGACCTAACCATTTTGTCTTGTTCTTTTCACAGTATTTGGAGTAAAACAACTTTGCCAAGATGTGTTGTCAAGGCTTCCTCAAAATCATGATGTTCATCTTCAATGGTGGCATCTTTGTAAGTTGGGTGAAAGAAAAAAAATGTTACTTTGAATCTGTTGTCCAGCTTTGTTTCGGTTAAAGAAAAAAAAAAAGGGACCACAGTTCAACAGTTCAGTAGCAGAACAAACCATTTCCTTTGCAAATTGGTGTGCCGTAAACGAGCCATTGTTTGCTCCCTATAAAGCTAAAAAAAAAGTTTTTGTAAGTAATTGTAATTGTAAAAAGATGAATGTGCGACAAGTAATTGTGGATACTGTAGAGGAAATCCAGTCTCACCATTTATTTGTAGTGATCATATGTATGTATGTATGTATGTATGTATGTATGTATGTATGTATGTATGTAT